GTTCCACACACAACGTAGGCACAGTAATTTGGAGTTGGCTTGGCTCTCGAACCGGAGATTTGGAGTCCCACGGTGTCTTGTTCCACTGACACTGGCGGTAGTGACATTGTCGCGAGGTTGATGATTGTTGTTGCGTTGACATGGAAGTCGTCTCTTCCTCCGTCTTCACCACTGCCTCCCAGTCGTAGGTCATTGCACCAGTTTGGCACACCGCCTTCTTGCAAGACGTGGCACAAGGCAAGTCTTGAGGCATGGAGGTGAACGAGGAGGAGGACGAGGTGGAGGACGCGGCCCTTGTGCAAGGAGGATGTTAACTGCCGAAGTCGAGGCAAACGATGCTTCACATTCACACTACATTTGTCGCATTTTGGATTATCACATCTTCGTGCGGACAGTGGCAATGCAAGTGGAGGAGGAGCTTTCGCTTTGATGGGGTGGCTCAGATTGTTGCCTAACTGAAGTGATGTTCTGCGCTCCAAGTGCCATTGTGTTGCCAGTCACCGAGGCGACATTTTACCACAAACGGTGGCTGCAGCGCAGGGCACTGCAGTCGTGAGAAGAGGAGAAAGTGGATTTGGTGGTGGAAACCACCTCCGTCATTACGGAGACAGGTTGAAGGAGTGGGTCACTCGACAGTGCATCGTGTGGGCATGCCTTCGAATTGCGTCGTTTGGGGGTGCCATCATCACCGTCTTCTCTCCTCGTCACCTCGTCTTCATGCGTGTGGTTGTTTTATTGTTTGAATGTGTAAATGCCATCTTGATGGACCTTCCCTTACTTCACTTGCTCTCCGATTGGCAGTTGACATGTCTGCTTGCCACTTTTTTCTTCACCAAATGCCTTTGCTTGAGAAATTTTGCCCTGAAGCCGCCTGTACTTTATATATGCGTTCTTTAGCGCTTTTTTAACATTTATCAAATGGAATCTCCACAAAGTCACTGAAGTTGCGCGAATGTAATCCTCGTGTTTTCTCCTTGGCTCGATCTTATCACACAAATGAAAATCTGTTAAAGTTGAGCTTCACCTTTCACTACTTTAACGTCAATCCACTCATTATCGTCTTGTGAAGTAGAAATACCAAATCTACAGCGATTCATTAACATCCAACTTCTCTTGACGAAACCACACTCTTTGATTGTGCAATCCAAATCACACAAAGACCCAAAAACTTGCAAGATAATTTATGCTGACTCAGACGTAACCATTCATGGTGCACTGATATGCGCCAATGAGGCCGAGGGATGGCGGTTGCGGTTGGAAATTACAACACTCCAGCAAAGAGCAAAAGCCGATGACATTTTTCAACACAAACACAGCCCCACGCAATCGTGTGAGTAGTCGTAGGCAATGAGAGGGCACATTGCTTCAACGAAATGTCCTTGCCTTTACCCCAAAGACGATATTTTGGCATTGGAATTGGAGTTTTGGCAAATTGCTCTTCAATTTTTCCCTCAGGAAGCAGTGGCATTGAATGTCAGAAGGAGCACACGAAAGAGGCATCGACGGCGAAAGAGATTGGAGGACTAAGGAGTGACAGTTGTTAAAGTAGAAGGCATGCTTTGCAGGGGAGAGGATATAACTGGCTCAGTAACTCATCCAATCTGTCCATCTTTTGAAGAATGTCAAGCCACAATGGTACAAGGCTTACCTCCATGCAACGGTGGTATGGTTGGAAGGTGTGAGTTTGGTTCCGGTCCTCCACATTCTCCATCTTCCGTCCAATGGCATTGAGGTTGTGCCTGAAGTTGCAGTTTCCTGGTTCCACCAGTGGTCGCCTCATCTAATCCGATCAGGCGGACGTGTTCATTCGCTTTGGCTCCTGTTGGTCTAAGCAACTTGTGTTAACCGCATTGTTTAGCTTCTCCGACAGGTGTTAAACAAACACGTCGGCAAAGAGGGAGGAAGATTTTGTTTGTCGAGGTTGCATGCTTAAAAGTGGGTGTAGCGATAATGAATGGTTATGGCTTGTCTGGTTTTCACCGCCCGTTCATTAAGTCTCTTTCACCGTAGACGCAAGACAAGTCACGAGGCTCAACCACCATTAACAAAGGAGTGTTTTTTTT